TATATATATATGTATATATATATATATATGTATATATATATATATATATATATATATATATATATATATATATATATACATATATACATATATAGTGGTGGAAATAAGTATTGAACACCTGACCATTTAAAAAAAAAAAAAAAAAATTCTAAAGGTGCTGTTGACTTAAAAAATTTACTAGGTAACAACCAAAGAAATCCATATATGCAAAGACAACAAAATAATTAGTTTGCAAATGAAGTTCTGAGTAATATAATTAAATGATGCAGGGAAAAAGTGTTGAACACATGAAGAATGGGAGGTGTAGGTTAGCAGTGAAAGCCCAGACAGCAGCTGAAATCTCTCTGTTGTTCTTCTGCCCTTCCTCATTGTACATGAATATCAGCTGCTTCAGTCCAACATCTACATTAGCAGATGATAAAGATAAAACCAGGGTGGACATTTCAGCAGGACAATGATCCAAAACACAGCAAAGGAGACTCTCAAATGCTTTCAGAGAAAGAAAATCAAGCTGTGGAATGGCCCAGCCAATCACCTGAGTTGAATCCAATCGAGAATACAAATTAAAGATCAAATTTGACAGACGAAACCCACAGAAGAATCAAGATTTTGACACTCTGTTGAGGTCTGTGAGAAAGTCACACCTGAGCGATGCAGCCAAAATGTATTAATGTTACCCAGAACACTAATTAAAACAGTAGGAACTTCATGTATTCAGAACAGCAGAAGTACCTGTAAGCGTAGATGTTGTGAGTGGCGCTTGCGATCTTCTTGTTCTCGTAGAGTTTATTCAGAACCCTCTGCACCTGTAGGTAGAGAAATAAACTAAATGTAAGGCTGTGGCACCATATGTGGATCCCAGCCAGACACCGCCGTAAGAATAACTCATGTCTGAATATTAAAATATGCCAATCACTGAAGATCCACATCACGACTGCTGAAGAGAACAGAACATCTCAGCTAAAGCATGAACATACATGTACACACACACATACACACAATCATGAGCACACAAACACACACACACACTCATACTTTATACACACACACACATTCATACACCAAATACACACACCATACAGTCAAACTGCTCTTGAGCTTGTTGTATAAACAGGAGGTGTGTGTAAACATGAGGAGTGTGTATGTGTTAGATGGGTGTGCGCATAACATATTGACGCTAATAAAACACTTTCAAAAAACACGAGCGGACTTGAAGAGCAACTTATCATTACTGTGTCGCTAACAGATCCCTGCCACAACAGGTCTGGAGGAATCTGAGCATATATATCTATATATAGCAATAACCTAGTAAACCCACCAACACCTTAGTAATTACATACTGTAGCAACTCACAAAAATAAGTGTTTCATGACATCAGCATGTGCTCTGTTATCTCCTTCCTCATTGGCCAGTGCAGCTATTATTCTAATTCTGGGTTCACACTAAACGCGGAGCTCTGTGGTCTGCGTGTCACATGCTCTAGTTTACAAATGAAATGTTTTTCACCTTTCGTTGTAGACATGACTGAGGCCATGTGTGCACTAATACGTTTTCGTTTAAAAACATATACGTTTCGGCCTTCCGACCACTGACCATTTTTAGGCAACAAAAAGGTATAGATCAATTTTAAATGGCAGTTCTTCCATGTTGCAGTTTGGACAGCGAACGTTAATTACGTAAACAAATTCTCCGCGATCGTGTATTTTATTGGGTTGCCCCAAAGAGCTGTTATAGGCTATTAAAATGTGAACTCTCTTTTACTTAAGTGAAATCTCAGCGAATGTTAATTAGGTAAATAAATTCCCAACGAGCATTTATTTTATTGGATTCCACTAAAGAGTTGTTATATGCTATAATAAAGAAAACTCTCTTTTGCTGAAGCGAAATCTCAGTGAACGTTAATTACGTAAACAAATTCCCCATGAGCTTGTATTTTATTGGGTTGCCCCAATGAGCTGTTATATGCAATTATAACGCAAACTTTTTTACTTAAGCGAAACCTCAGCAAACGTTAATTACGTAAACGAATTTTCCGCGATCGTGTATTTTATTGGGTTGCCCCAAAGAGCTGTTATAGGCTATTATAATGTGAACTCTCTTTTACTTAAGCGAAATCTCAGCGAATGTAAATTACGTAAATAAATTCCCAACGAGCATTTATTTTATTGGATTCCACTAAAGAGTTGTTATATTCTATAATTAAGAGAACACTCTTTTGCGTAAGCGAAATCTCAGTGAACGTTAATTACATAAACAAATTCCCCATGAGCTTGTATTTTATTGGGTTGCCCCAATGATCTTATATATACAATTATAACGCAAACTTTTTACGTAAGCAAAACCTCAGCAAACATTAATTATGTAAACAAATTCTCCGCGAGTGTGTATTTTGTTGGGTTTCGGCAAAGAGCTGTTATATGCTATTATAAAAAGAACTCTTTTACTTAAGCGAAATCTCAGAGAACGTTAATTACGTAAGCAAATTCTCCACGAGCGTGTATTTTATTGGGATCTGCCAAAGAGCTGTTATATGCTATTAAAACACGAACTCTCTTTTTTACGGTAACAAAATCCCAGAGTACAGTAATTACGTAAACAAATTCCCTTGGGTTCTGCAAAAGAACTGTTATAATGTTAACTCTCTTTTATGTAAGCAAAATCTAAACAAATATTAATTACGTAAACAAATTCCCCACGAGCGTGCATTTTATTGGGTTCCTTTAAAGAGCTGTTATATGCTATTATAACGTGAACTCTTATCCGTAAGCTAAATCGATGCGAACGTTAATTACGTAAACAAATTCTCTGTAAACAAAATCCCAGCCAGACACCGCCGTAAGAATAACTCATGTCTGAATATTAAAATATGCCAATCACTGAAGATCCACATCACGACTGCTGAAGAGAACAGAACATCTCAGCTAAAGCATGAACATACATGTACACACACACATACACACAATCATGAGCACACAAACACACACACACACTCATACTTTATACACACACACACATTCATACACCAAATACACACACCATACAGTCAAACTGCTCTTGAGCTTGTTGTATAAACAGGAGGTGTGTGTAAACATGAGGAGTGTGTATGTGTTAGATGGGTGTGCGCATAACATATTGACGCTAATAAAACACTTTCAAAAAACACGAGCGGACTTGAAGAGCAACTTATCATTACTGTGTCGCTAACAGATCCCTGCCACAACAGGTCTGGAGGAATCTGAGCATATATATCTATATATAGCAATAACCTAGTAAACCCACCAACACCTTAGTAATTACATACTGTAGCAACTCACAAAAATAAGTGTTTCATGACATCAGCATGTGCTCTGTTATCTCCTTCCTCATTGGCCAGTGCAGCTATTATTCTAATTCTGGGTTCACACTAAACGCGGAGCTCTGTGGTCTGCGTGTCACATGCTCTAGTTTACAAATGAAATGTTTTTCACCTTTCGTTGTAGACATGACTGAGGCCATGTGTGCACTAATACGTTTTCGTTTAAAAACATATACGTTTCGGCCTTCCGACCACTGACCATTTTTAGGCAACAAAAAGGTATAGATCAATTTTAAATGGCAGTTCTTCCATGTTGCAGTTTGGACAGCGAACGTTAATTACGTAAACAAATTCTCCGCGATCGTGTATTTTATTGGGTTGCCCCAAAGAGCTGTTATAAGCTATTATAATGTGAACTCTCTTTTACTTAAGCGAAATCTCAGCAAATGTTAATTACGTGACTAAATTCTCGACGAGCATTTATTTTATTGGATTCCACTAAAGAGTTGTTATATGCTATAATAAAGAGAACACTCTTTTGCGTAAGCGAAATCTCAGGGAACATTAATTACGTAAACAAATTCCCCATGAGCTTGTATTTTATTGGGTTGCCCCAATGAGCTGTTATATGCAATTATAATGCAAACTTTTTACGTAAGCGAAACCTCAGCGAACGTTAATTACGTAAACGAATTTTCCGCGATCGTGTATTTTATTGGGTTGCCCCAAAGAGCTGTTATAGGCTATTATAATGTGAACTCTCTTTTACTTAAGTGAAATCTCAGCGAATGTTAATTAGGTAAATAAATTCCCAACGAGCATTTATTTTATTGGATTCCACTAAAGAGTTGTTATATGCTATAATAAAGAAAACTCTCTTTTGCTGAAGCGAAATCTCAGTGAACGTTAATTACGTAAACAAATTCCCCATGAGCTTGTATTTTATTGGGTTGCCCCAATGAGCTGTTATATGCAATTATAACGCAAACTTTTTTACTTAAGCGAAACCTCAGCAAACGTTAATTACGTAAACGAATTTTCCGCGATCGTGTATTTTATTGGGTTGCCCCAAAGAGCTGTTATAGGCTATTATAATGTGAACTCTCTTTTACTTAAGTGAAATCTCAGCGAATGTTAATTAGGTAAATAAATTCCCAACGAGCATTTATTTTATTGGATTCCACTAAAGAGTTGTTATATGCTATAATAAAGAAAACTCTCTTTTGCTGAAGCGAAATCTCAGTGAACGTTAATTACGTAAACAAATTCCCCATGAGCTTGTATTTTATTGGGTTGCCCCAATGAGCTGTTATATGCAATTATAACGCAAACTTTTTTACTTAAGCGAAACCTCAGCAAACGTTAATTACGTAAACGAATTTTCCGCGATCGTGTATTTTATTGGGTTGCCCCAAAGAGCTGTTATAGGCTATTATAATGTGAACTCTCTTTTACTTAAGCGAAATCTCAGCGAATGTAAATTACGTAAATAAATTCCCAACGAGCATTTATTTTATTGGATTCCACTAAAGAGTTGTTATATTCTATAATTAAGAGAACACTCTTTTGCGTAAGCGAAATCTCAGTGAACGTTAATTACATAAACAAATTCCCCATGAGCTTGTATTTTATTGGGTTGCCCCAATGATCTTATATATACAATTATAACGCAAACTTTTTACGTAAGCAAAACCTCAGCAAACATTAATTATGTAAACAAATTCTCCGCGAGTGTGTATTTTGTTGGGTTTCGGCAAAGAGCTGTTATATGCTA